GAAACGCTTCAACGGCTTTTCTGTTGGTTTCCCGCACAATGATACTTACGATTTCAGGAGACAGCAATAGCTTGAAAAGAGCTTTATGACTCGGTGACGCTCCTCGTAGTGGCCCTTTACGAGTAAAAGTTGTAACATTGTGACAACGAGGCCTTCCAGGTGGTGGAGGATTTGAATTCCACATTCTACCATCTTTTGACCTGTATATAAGGCCTGTGTAATAGATGCGCTGCATGATTCCATTGTAGTTGAAGCCTCAAGGGCGATAGCTTCTCTATACAAATCCTCAATATCATCATGGTTTTCATCCAGAACAGCCTCTAACTCGATTTCCTGTTCTATATCTGATGCTTCATCTGGAAAATATTCATACACTTCTACGTCGCCACTTGTTTCAAATGGATCGGACTCCTGTCCCATAATTTCTTCAAATTGTGCCTGAAGTCGCTGACGTTCTTCCGGACTCACATTTGCTGCGTTTAGCTTACGAAGCAAACGCGTCAACACATCAACTTCATCCATATTTACTTATTCCATTTTATTCAAAAAAAAAAACACTTCCCACTAATTAAAAAACACGTGTTCACTTCAATTGTCAAATGTCAACTAAAAAATTATCTCTGCCGCTGCCTTCGCTAACAGTTTAGTTGTTTACACCTAACGGTTAACCAATTTACATGAGAAGCTTATATGGGTCTGCACAGACCCATGTGAGCTGAATAAACGAAATTAGTTTAAAATTATTATTTTTACAACAAATATTGCAAAAATCTTAGTTTTGCTACTTCATTGTGTTTAGCACACTACATTTTAGGAAGTCATGGACTAAGAAGCCTCAGATATTAAAAATAAAAGATCTACATACATTTAAAGATCGAATGGGTCTGGCCAGACCCATATGAACATCGGAGGGTTAAAGTGTAAAAAGTGAAGTATATAAAATAAACTAATATGTCTAGTTTAGCAACGCGAATGTCAGTTACGAATTTAAGAAAAGTTAGTTTGATTGGATACACAATGCATCAAATTACAGGTGCAAAACTTCCATCTAATCGGCAGGTTTTAGAAGTTTTATTTTACAATATGAGATTTGTAGATCTTTCAGCAAAGAAAAGCGCAAAACTTGCTATCAAAGCAGCACAAATATTTTGGAAACAACCACGAATACCGATAAGAAAAGAAGATAAATGTGTTGAGAAGTTATTGAAAATATACGAAAGTTGGAAAAAAATCCTGAAAACAGTTCCGGAAAAGAGATCCAATTCACAGGAAGAAGTCGTTGATATGTTTGTTGGAAGTTTCAATGATTTATTTGACATGGCCACCGCTAATGCGCTTAAAAAAATGAAGTTAGTAGAAGATAAGAAATTTCTTCAAATGCAACGTCAAAAAGACGGCCAGGTTGCATGATGGGTGTTGATAAGGTTTTGTACGATCGTGAAGTGCGTGCACAAGAAAGACAGGAGAAAGCAGCATTACGAAAAAGGCGGTATGAAGAACAAAATTCTGTATGTTCTAATATAATCGAGGAAAGCAATGAAAATGATATAGTACTTGTGGAAGCTGGAAATAAAAATGTAGTAATTCCGTTGGAAAAAAATTGGTTGCAAACTGAGTGTAAAAAGCGACGAGGCACTAAAAGTAGCATAACATCACGATTGTTAGCAGCATTAGACAATGCCAAATTGTCAGATGGTATGGCCGTACATATTTTAGTAGCCGCTGCTGAAGTATTGGGTCATTGTGTGGAAGAACTTGTTATTAATCGATCAACGATTCACCGTATGCGGCAACAAAATCGGTCTGCAGAATTCAAGGATATTTCTACTGAATTTAAAGAAAAGGTGAGTTCCCTATAGTTGACAATGCACTTTTATTAATGTTAATTTATTTAAACACTTAACAAGGCCATTGCAAATGGAGCACTAGTTGTTCATTTTGATGGGAAGTTCATGACAGATATAAAAGGTCGTTGTAAAGTGGAAAGAATTGCTGTTTTAATTAGCTACGATGGAACATCGAAATTTCTTGGAGCACCAAAGATACAGTCGTCGACTGGTGCAAATATTGCTGAAACTGTTTATCAGAGATTAGTCGATTGGAACATTGTTGAACTTGTTAAAGGCATATCTTATGATACAACTGCTGTCAATATTGGTGTTAAAAATGGAGCCGCAGTCCTTTTGGAAAAAAAAGTGCAACGCAATCTCATGCACCTACCATGCTGTCATCATATGTACGAAATTATTTTGCGCAACGTTTTTGAATCAAAGATGATGTCAAACTCAGCTCCAGAAATACTCTTGTTTGAATGATTTCTGAAGGCCTGGCCAAACCTTAAGAAAACCTTGTTTAAAACTAGTGTTGATGATAAATCAAAAATAAGCCAAGTGGAACGGGACACTCTTGTAAGTTTCTTGCAGGACCAATTAAAAATCGCATAGCCGTGATGACTACAAAGAAATGCTACCACTTGCTTTAACTTTCCTTGGTGCAGATTGCTTTAATTTATGTGCTCCAGGTGTAACCAGCAACGCACGGTGGATGGCAAAAGCAATCTATTGTCTCAAAATATATTTATTACGTGATCAGTTTAAACTTACAACCAGAGAATTGAGTGGCATCCGCGATATTTGTATTTTCATTGTTAAAATTTACATCAAAAGTTGGTTCGGAAGTACAAATGCGAATTCAGCACATAGTCAAGATCTTTTCTTTATTAAAGACGCTCTAAATTATACAGATACAGATTCAACAATTTCAAAAGCTATTATTAAAAAATGTCTAACCATTTATGGTACATCGCCGAAGGAACAGTAGAGTTATCATTTTTTGACTTAACAAAAACAATTAAACAACAACAATTAAACAACAAAAATTAAACAACAACAATTGAACAATTAAAAAGCAAGGAACCAGTTGTTCATTTAAAAAGTAGCCGAGGCACTCAAAATTGACAGATTTTGGAACTTACGAACTTAGCGATTTTGCTTCAGAAAAGACAAATTTTTTTTCAATAATTTTTGGTTATCTTCAGCCTTTTTGGGCGTGAATCCATCCCAATGGGAAAATAATTCAGATTTCGAAAATAATTGGACTTTTTGCCGCAACTTACAAGTTGTTAATGATCCCGCTGAAAGAGGAATAAAATTTTTGCAAGACTACAATCAAAATTTTAACGAGTAATGAAGAGGAAAAGCAGTAGGTACTCCAAATTGTTGAATCGTATATCGTATATAAATTTATTTATTTATTTATTTAGTTAAGTCTACGAACATTAATTCTTACAGACTAATGGAAAGTTAGGATACTAAATAGGTTTCTAAAATAATTCAAWTAAAAGTACATAAGTAGATAAATTAAACTAAAAAACAGAATTAGGGTATTAATGAAGGATACCCTAGAGTGAGAAAAATCAAGAAGAACTTTTTCGGAAATCGAGTTAAACTCTCGCATAGCACGCTT